GATCCCAGGACATTCCCATAGCCCTTCTAAATCTCCTCTGAGAGCAACACTCATCAGTGCCTTCCTGAAAATTCTATAAACCCCTGCTCTGGAATGAGAACCAAGTGAGGTTCTCGATTCCTGTGAGAGCTCCTCACCCATGGCCCCTTTACGGAACATACAGTGTCTGACTGGTCTCTGAACCAGTGCAAAGAATGAGACCCAAAAGTGTCTTAAAGGGACCAGTCCTTTGACAGGATGCTTATTACTCTGTATAACCAGGCTCCTTGCCTACAGTACCAACTCCAAAGACTCCCAGTGAGGTTTAAAGGAGACAGTGCCCAGAGGCTAGGTTAGCTGGATGACAGCTGCTCCGAAATGTTGGCCATTACAAGCATTATTGAGACTAAACATGCTGGAACCTCACCCCCCAAAATTATTTCTGAAATAACCTTCATTTCAGACACTTTCTTCCTAATCTATTAGAATTCACAAAAGTAAGACAAACCCCCCTCCAATTTATGGTACTTTGCCACAGAATCCCCAGGCAATGAATACAGGCCCCGTCCCAAACCACGGTCTGCTAGTTGGGTGATGGCTGCAGGCGCAGAAGGTGCTGCATGCCTTTCATCGGGTTGTAATTTTGTTTAGGTCAGAACAACTTTCCTTAGACCACCTTCCTATTCTACTACTTGAAAGGGTATCTCGCCGCGACCCTCCTTACCCAGAATGACTCAGGAGACACGGGCCCATGCAAGAGACTTTATTATCTGAAGGAGAGAGTGGCTGCCCCAGACGGGGGTGGGGAGAGGGAGAGAGAGAGAGAGAGNGAGAGAGAGAGAGAGAGAGAGAGAGAGAGAGAGAGAGAGAGAGAGAGAGAGAGAGAGAGAAAGAGAGAGGGAGGGAGAGGGAGAGAGAGCAGCGGGACAGAGAGACAGAGACAAAGAGAGGGCAGCAGAGAGAGAGAGAGAGTGACAGAGAGAGCAGTGGGACGCAGAGAGCAGAGAGAGAGAGGGAGAGAGGGCAGGGGGACAGAGAGACAGAGACAGAGAGAGAGGGCAGCAGACAGACAGAGAGAGAGAGAGCAGCGAGACAGACAGACACAGAGACAGAGAGAGAGGGCAGCAGCGTGGTGCCTTTTATAGTAGTGGATCTGCTCGGCCTGCTGCTTTGGGGGAGGGTCGGAATGTTTAGAGATAAGGCAGGGTAAACCCAGCAAGCCCCAGGCAAGCCCAGGCATAATTCTCACCAGCTTATGTGCTTGGGACCATGGGGTAAAAGGAGGATAAATTATATATTCTTACACTACTCACCTTTCACAACTTGTTTTCCTTTTGCTATAAGGAAATTGGAGGCCTAGATGGAAATTCTGATAGGGTGGCCAGCAGTTTTTCCTTTCCTTCCCACACCCCACCATGCTCTACCCATGCCTCGGGGTGCTGCCCAGCCCCCATTCTGCTCTTCACTCACCTCACAGCCTGACCTGAGACCTCAGCTGTTGAAAATCTCTGGGCACCTGGGTGTAGGGAAGATGAGGAAGCTGTGGATAGGATCACACCACACCAAATCCTTCGCCAGCTTGAGAAAGGTTGGTATCTCCAAGGCCACCAAAGACAATTCGTCAGTGGAGATTGTCATGGAGGGAAGAAATGGAATGCTGGCTCTGGGATTTTGTTATTCTTATTTGTATTTTTGCCACTGCTTTCAGTTTTGGATATATCACTTAAAAGGGTGTCAAATCTTGAAGCTGTAATTATCCTTAAGGGCAACCCACTCCCACACCATACCATGTGCCAGCATTGCTGAAGACCCAATGGATATTTAGTCAAAAAACCTCAGGGAGACACATAGCAGTTTCTGGCCAATTGCTTCCACACTCTTGTGCCCCATGCCTACCCCTCTGGGCATCTCCTTTTAATGCTCTTGTGCCCCATGCCTACTCCTATGGGCATCTCTGTTAGGTTTAGAGTTTCAACTTCCTTCAGATCTATCTCCTTTAAAGTTTTCTAAAGGGTTTTGCTTATGTTGATAAGGGAAAACAGGAAAGAAAAAAGAAAAAAATAACTCCATTTCTCCCCCTTACCATCCCTTGCTTTCTTGAAGACTCCATAAGAAAATCCTCAGTGGCCCAGAATTACAGCACCCACGTACCAATAATTCAGAAGGGTATGTCCATGGCCACTGCCAGCCAGTCACTGTAGATTTCACTTAGCGCAAAAAAAAAAAAAAAGAAAGGACAATGTAAAGGTGGGGATGGACTCTGGTCCCTTCTGGGAAGCAATCACCAGGAGGAGAGAAGAGCAGGAAAGGAAGTTTCAAATATAGCTGGGGCCACAGACATTCTCAGGTCAGTGGTGTGGAGGACATCCCTGCTTTTGCAAATGAATGGCATCTTCATCAAAGTAATCACCTGGGAAGGTGAGATCCTTATTTCAACAGAGAAGCTATTTGTTATAAATATTTAGGAAATCCTCTGTTGCCTTTAGGATTTACACTTTATTAATCTAGATGTCTTGAGATTTTTCAACAGCAAATCTTTTCAGGACACATTTGATGAGAGGAATAGTGCAAAGTTATCTGGAGAGAAGCTGAGCCAGTAAGCTGGGCAATTCTATTTTAGGTCAAAATCTAGGTGTAGCCAGTTTCATGATTATTTTTCTCTTGTGCCTGTAAAATTGCCCAGACGGAAGCACGCCAGGCTGGTGGGGTAGTGATCACCACACCCACTGGTCAACAGGGTCCTGACAGTGCCAGGGTACAGGGTACCAAGTGCCATTGACTAGCATGGTCAGTGCCACTGAGAGACAAAGTCCATATCCTTAGAAGACCCTAACTTTTCTGGGTCCATGGCAGCGTTGTGTTTGGGTCCTGAGTCTTCTCTACAAACCCCATCTGCCACCCAGCTCCCCATCAGAGCTACTCTTCCAGTCCAAGTGATTCCCCTAGTTGTCTCACTATAGCTCAAGTGCCTCCCTCCCTCAAAATCACTCCAGCAATACAGAATAAATAAAACGAAAACTGAACAGACCTTCCTCAATCTCCCTGCTAGGCTACTTCTATTAACAACCCAATGAGTTTCCTCCCAGATGGTTTCTCTGTGGGGACTCCTAAGTATGTTTTTACCTAAGTCAGTACATACACTGAATGCTAGACAAGAGTGCACTGCAGTGATCACACTGACACACGCTCCACAGAGCCTTAACCAGGTTGTGAATGCCTCACGCCAAACACTTAATGAAGATCTCTCGGTGCAGCCACAACACACAGCAACCTCAGTCTTGAACCCCAGTGGGCTGTGGGACAAGCAAGGCCGTGCTTCTGGGCTTGCCTAAGTGCTTGTTGGCTCCAGCAGCCAACAGCCTAGGGCCAGGATCTGGGCCGAACTCTGCCCTGTCCTGGACAGAATCCGTCTGCTCTCCAACTTCCTCACCTGGTGAAGACAGAGTTGGAATAAGACGGAACCAGTTGGGAAGGTGCCCAAGGAATCGATCTGTAATGTAAGGGAACAGAGAAAACTGTATGGATCAGCACTCTGCTCAGCTGCTGGATGTTAAGGAGACAGAAGAACATTTCTATGACACACCTCTGTTGCCTTGACCTGCCTGGAATCCATTTCATTATCTTTTGGCATTAGAGCCATGTTTATTTGGGAAACCACCTCCCCTGCTTTCAGTGCGTATGGTTGGGAGTTTGACTCCCATAGGGTTTGATTCCACAAGGCTCTAAGAGTCAGCTTGTGACCCAAGAGTGGCCAAATGGAGTAACCGATCCCTCTGGTTACAGTAAGTGACTGCTGGCTGGGCAAATGACCAAAGTCAATTCCATGATATTCAACTCTTTGGGGATACTTTTGGGAACCATTAGACACAGACCCTTTTTGCTGGGGCTGCCGAGGACAGGATATCAGCCAAGAGCCTCTGACCACCTCTTGCCAAGATCAGTGGGGAGACCCTGCTAGAGAATGAAACGGAAAGACCAGAGACAAGGCATGAGATGATGAGTCTCGATGACATCCGTGTAAGCCCTGGATCTGGCTAGGCCCAGAATGAGAAGCCTCCCTGGACCTTTCATTTCAATGAGTCAATACACTCCCTCTTTGGCTTACGCCTGTGTTTCCAGTTACTTATATTAAAAAAAAAAAAATCCTGATTAATACAACTTCCAAGGAAAATGCCTGGGCAAAAGATGAGAAAGCAGGGCTTTAAGTATACTGAGATGTGAAAAATGGATGCTCCTCTTCTACCCTTTCCTCACAGTGTTCATCCCCTCACCTCTAAATAAACACTCAACAAATATTTAAAGAATACTCATCTGAAAGGGCACCAAGGTATGGCCTGCTGGAGACAATCATGTGTCATGGCTCAGAGCTAATGGAACCAGAAGTTTTGTGTTCATACTCCAGTTCCTCCACTGATAGTGTGACCATAAGTCCCGTAGCATCTGTAAGCCTAAACACATGCTTATGAGTCTGAAATGAGGCACTATTCATGCAAGTGTTTGGAAATCCTAAAGCAGTCCTAATTGTGAGTCAAGGCAAATCTCAACTTTTGCCACCCTGGCATTTGCACCTTAAAAGGTTGTGGAGAAAACATCCTCAGGGAAGAAAGCAGCACTTCATCTCAAGGTGAGGAGGCTCAGCTTGGACATATTAGTATCAGCAGATCAATGATGCCAAACAGAACTTCATCTCTTTGAATGATGGAAGATAATGGCTCAGTAACTGAACTGACCTCCAGTCTCCCTACTGTCTCCTACACTACCCACCCAACAACACAAGCAGACAGTCAAGGTTTGTGCCAAGAAGTTCAAACCTTCTGGTACATTCTGAGAGGAATCACAAGACCAAAGTTGGTAACCAACAGGAGACTATATTACACAATTGCATAATGACACAATATAACAGGTATTCCAACCTTTCCAAGAAAGCATGGGACCTCTTTTAAACATCTCCAATTTTCACAGACCTGTCTCTACATGAGTTCTGCTCGCTGAAGTACTTGATGGAATAAGTATGAAATCAATAATGCTTTAAAGTGAATTTATTATTCATAACAGCAGTAGTTCTTAAAATTTGCAAAGAAAGTCACACAAAAATGTACAAGTCATTTTATGTGTTCAGTGTTCACAGTCATCTTGGGGCACATGGATTCCAGGCAAACAGATAAGACAAGTAGGACAGCCCCTGAGGGACTGGGGCAGCTGGCTCACTGCCGTTCTTCCGGCAGCCCCCCGTTTTGCCAAAGCTGTTTCCTTGGTATTGTTAACAAAGGCAATCGCCACACACTCCTTCAATTAGAGGTTAAGCTGTTCTCCATTCCTTTCACACTCTTCTTCCAAGCAGGCAGGTGGACAGGAAGTTCAGATTCTTTATTATTCCCAAACCAGGGTCAAATTCAGGACTCTGACTGAGCCTCTGCTGCTATTTCACTTTCTGAACTCCCAGAAGACAAAACTCAGGCCTGCAAATAGTAACACCCACTCACGTTGTCAAGAGCTACAAAAGTTTATAGTTGACATATACATTTTAAAGAAGACCCTAAGAATATCTGGGCAGCAAGCTCTTTTCTGAAAAGCCCATCAGCAGAGTAGCAGGGCCAGAGGGTCTTGTTTTAAGTGCAAGTCTCTTTTTAAAATCCCATTTAAAAAGCCAAGCTGTCTCACCATTCCCATGTCACTACCTCAAGGACCCTCTCCTTGCATCTCAGTGACCACTGCTGGCAGGTTGACACCCGTTTTCTGAAAAGCCAGGTGTCTGGGGACTCAGGCTTGGCCCAGAAGTATGGGCAACCATTTCTCTGCGGTCCCCCCACTCCAGTTTCTTTCTGACCCATTACTAAGACTTGGGTAAGCTTCCACAAAGCACTGGCACTCTCCCTGGGCCCCCAACCTACAGTCAGTGGAATCTACAAGTCTTCCAACCTTTTCTTGCTGATAGCCCAGGTGGGCTCCACTGCCATGTTAAGGTTTGGAGCCAAGAAGAAAAGGTCAGTATGAGTCTCAAGAAACTGGGGGCATTGTAATTATCACAAGATGAAAAAAAGCCCCAGCTGTTCGCTTACCTGACCCCTCTAATTCCTAGGCCAGACATGAAAGGAAGATGGTGCAGGGCTGGGTAGGACTGGTGGCCACTGATCTGAAGCTCTTATGTGTGGGTGGTTGATGCCATACAGGTGGGGGAAGGGTTAGACATGAGCCCGGATCTTCTCCCAGGTTCTCTACAACTGCACAGCTTCTCACAAATACTCCAATCAAGAATGGAAGAGTTTATGTTTTCCTAAAAAAATCTTATTAAACCAGGAACCCCCAAAATATGATTTGCAGAAGACTACAACGTGGAACACTTTTGGTATTTGGCAGGGTATGGAACGTGGAACACTTTCGGTGTTTGGCAGGGTATGGAAAGTTCCATGGTCAGGTCAGTCTGAAAACTGGTAGGCTAAACAAGAGTCTCAACTGCAGGTCTTCTCCAAGCTTTTGCTGTTAATGTGCACTGCGACACTCCAACCCTCAGCTGGAGATTACAGCACTATCTCCACTTCTGCTAAGTGCTTTCCAGAGAAAGCATCTCATGATGCTAGTGTACCACGGAATGTGCTCCGGCAAGCATTACAGTGTACCTAACATGAGCTAATTTGGAGTTGAATGTAGTGCTCTGACCCAGAACCCTGCTGCCAGCCTTGGAAGAAAGAGAAGATGCAGAAGCCTGATCCACATACCTAGCATCAGGGGCAGGCCCTGGATGCACAACTTTCAGGCCCCAGCCACACCAAAAATAAGTTGCTCGTGTGGGTTTTTTCTCTTTCTTTATTTGGAAGGTGCGGATGAGTGGGACAAAGAGGATGCCCCATCATTATTTACCTTGGAGCTCATGGAAAATCATAGGAGTTATACTTGAGATACTTAATGAAAATATACATATATACAAACAGGTGTGTGTGTGTGTGTGTGTGTGTGTGTGTGTGTGTGTATAAATAAAACTGTAAAAATAAAACAGTCCAAATTATTTGGAAATGAGAGAAAATACCTATCATGCCCCCATCCTAATACTCTATCATCACATATATGTCTTCATTATATATGCTCTTCCAGAGGTAGCTTTTTTATGTTATCATTCTAATTCTTGTATTCCTGGCAAAAGAAAAAAAGCCTTGGTCTTCCTCCTCTCTCCTGAATGTTTTCCCAGAGGTTGGGAAAGGTAGAACCGTGATGGAGGGCATCAAGGGGGACTCTTTCTTCCCTTTAGGCCAGCCCCCGGCTCTTTCTCTTGGCCCACAACCCACATAGTGCTCCCACCCCTGGAATTGATCATTGTCATTTCTCTTCCTTGTGTTACCATCCTGGATGGTATCATAGGCTCTCCTTCCTGCCCAAGAATACCAGCTAAAATGATAAACTTTCACCCAATGTCCACGCTAACTTTGGCCTTCCAGATACAGTGATCTTGCCTATGTTGGGCACTGTTTGTTGAATTGAATTCATCTTTGTCCAACTCCATATTATAACACCAGGTTTTGGATGGTGAGATGGTGATAGGCAGTACTGTGGAACATTCTTCTAAAATTATTCAAGGAATTAGGTAATGCAGTCTACAGTCAACTCTTTGTTTCTACCTTCCCCGTAACCATTCTCTGTGTAAGAACATTCAAATTTTTCCTTGGAAATCATCTCTTCCTTTTCTCTTAACCCACACAATCTGGGTGAAGCTGACATCATTACCCCTCCAAGGATGAGACAAGACCCAGATCTGGTCAATTAAAATGTCCTGAGGTCAGCAGAAAGAGATACAATTCTGTTTTTGTTTGTTTAAACAAGTATTGGGTAGGGAGAATCTGTGTCCACTAGGGTGGCTGAGAGAATAGAAAACTAAAGAAAATGCTTGCTGGATAAGGGAGACAACACAGAAGACAGCAGAGCTGAGACATGGGAGAACTGAATTCTGCTGACACTGTAGTTCCTCAGTTTGGTTTGGTACACAATAGCTCTAGAATCTCTAGAATCTGACAGCCCTGAGGTGGCCTGACTTTTCCCTTCCCCCTGATTGGATGCATCTGTGTTGGAACATGATGAACTTCAAAGTAGCCTGTAGGTCCTCTTCTTAAATCTGTAACATTTGTCATGGGGCAGTTTGACCACAACGCAAGTGCAAGTGCCGTATCTTGTCTCTGGTCTTCTGCCTGAGTATATCCAGGTACAGATGTAAAGATAAAAACCCTGTGACTCATGCTTACCTTAACTTGTTAAGTAGAGACTGCTTTAAGACTGCTTTGTAAAGGACTGAACAGCTAAAAAGAATCCTAAGCATTTCATATACAACCATTATGCTTAATAAATCCAGAGTGGATGGTTGATTTTCCCACTTCGCAGATGAGGAAGCTCATTTCAGGTGGAGGACCTGCCCAATGCGACTGACACTGCTAAAATTCAAACACAGGTCTCATACCTAACTCTTGTTACTTTCTACCACAGTGTTCTACTGAAACCGAAGAAACCAAAAGCTTTCCTCATAAATGACTGAATTATTTTTTCTTTTTAATAAAGGCTTTCAAATACCACTTTATAATCATAGTCACACAAAATCTTAAAAGACAAACCAGTCCAAGGTAAACGACTGGTTAACAGAGACGAGAATTAAGCAACAACTGACCGAGTGTGGTGAGTGCTAAGATAGGGAAGGCACCCAGGGGTCTGTGAGAACATGGTGGAGGTGGGGGTGCACTGTGGGGTGGGGGACCCTCAGGAACTGCTCAGGCTTTCAGACTGAGGGGCCAGCTTAGTGGGCGAGGCTATGGTTTTACTTTCTAGGCCCCTTATGACAGCATTATCAAACCACACATTAAAATGCAGCCATAGCTCAGATTTTTATAATTTTCCCTCTTAAATTGCTTGGTGACTAGCAACTCATGTAACAGAAGATTAGCTATGATTGCTTGGCAATCATGTGCTTGAAAATGCTTGTGAAGAAAGAAACTCTCACCTATACTATTCTATTTTAACAACTAAGTTGAGAAATGTTTCATCTTGTAGATAATTATTTTTGCTCTTTTCTTTACATAATTTGGAGCCAGCATTTTTTCCTGGTGTTTTGCAAACATTTCCATTGGCTCTTCAAATCTTAACAGATCTTGGCCACAATGCCTGTAATACCTAACAAGTAAAATAGCAGACGTCAAAACAGAGCCTGGGACAGAGAGGAGAACGTGGGAAGGACCAGGCCCAAGTGCACTCAGCACCAGAACAACCTGACGTTGGCAGTCACCACCTGAAGCTGGATCCAGGCACCATTTCAAAATGCATGGTCCCCACCAATATCTTCCCCTAAAGACTATGAAGAGCTGCAAGATGTCCTATCATTCCCAGATACACAGGAAGAGGTAGCTGCCCCTACCATTCCCTCCTTGGGGGCATCACCTGTTCCCAAGACAGAGGTCGGTGCCCACGTGGCCACCAGTGAGCCCAGCATCAGTGAGTCACACCACTCTCACATCCATGGTAACACGGTATTCATAAAGCAGACACATGAAGTTGTCACATGTGTCATTGCTGGGCTGGTTCATTATCCTTTGTCTTTAAATTGGCCTCTAGTTTCTAGAAACTTACCTACCTTCATCAGTTTGAATATTTCCCAAATCACAGCAGAAATTATTAACAAATTAACCAATCTGAACATTTTTTGATATAATGCTCTTTAGAGGGTTTGACTTAGGAAACAGGAATAAAAAGTATCCTAAGACCTCAAGAGAAACATCTCAATATCAAAAAAAAAAAAAAAAAACCTCACACCAACTAACCTACCTGCTACACCAAATAAACCTATGACAATGGGGGAGGGACAGAAGCAGCAATGATGGGCATCTGTCTGATTATTCTCATACTACCTCAAATATTCACCCTAATTCCACAGAGGAAACACAAGTGTGAGGAGGTGAATTAGTTAATGTCCTAATAGCTCATTAGTAGCCAAGCTGCACCAGAAAACAAGCTGGGCCACACTTACCTCCTGAGATCAACATCGCTTGCCCTGTAGACCCAGCAGATGGGTCTCGGCAGAGCAGGACCCACGTGCAGAAACACTAGCATCAGGACCAGGAAAAGAGGGAGTGGCCCACGTATCGAAGCTCCAAGCTGGTGGTCCATCAACAGGTGCTGATCCCAGGCCTGTGCTTAGGCTTGGAGTCAGACTATCTGACAGGTATGGGCCAAATGTGACATGGAATTAGAGTAGCCCCCAGACCCAGGCAGCCCCTGACAAAATGACAGCTTTTATTTACTTGAGTAAAGGAGAAGTGTGGGCTTGGCCTCCTTAAGATGCCTATCACTGATAAACTGTTCAACTCCAATGGCTGCTTAGGCCTAGCCATCTGGAGTATGAAAAGACCCGGCTTGCCTTATTAATGAACTGTAAGTCACTTCTAAAGAACAGAGCAGGGTCATCTGAACAGGGGAACTCTCAGCTGGGTGTAGAGCAGTACAGACCCAGAAGGGGCACAGAGCCTGAGGCACTGCTGTCCCCCCATTCAGCAGCTGGCTAAAATCACCCTTGGCACATCCACAGGTCTCCAAGAATACCAACGGGTAAAGCCAATGGAAGCCCTCATTCTACTTCTCATGGCATGACCAGAGCCCCCAATAAATACATTTCTTTACCCACCTTCACCCCTCACCTCCCCCACTGTGGCATTCCTTACTCCCCTGGTGTTTCCTTTCCTCCATTTATCTTTGTTCCATCCACTTCTTCAAGCCTCCTTACTCCATCCTGCTTACTTCTGCCCCTACCTTTAGCATCAATTCTTCCACTTAGTCACCATGAAACTGCCTGCCAGTATTGGCCTCACCTAGGAGCCTCCCCAACACAGAAGCCCTAGGAGGAAATGGCCCCCTCATGGGCTTTTGTTGTCACATGACAGTGAGAGGACAGGCACCATAGGGCAACTTTACATTTTGGGGTTTTTTTTGTTGCTATTGTTGGTCTCTAATCGATGATTACACCACTTCACCACTTTTTATCAGAAAAGATTTAAGAAAACAAACAGACCATGAGGTTTAGGTGTCCTATGAGGGCAATTTGGATTTCAGTAGGGCCTCCTCCTGCTCTTTCCCCATCAGTGTGTCATGTTGCAATATCCTAGCTTCCTCCCATCCTTTATCAACTGTCTTGATAAATATGGTAAAGTATTATGATGAGGGATGCTAACTGGTGTTTCACAAAATGCAGTTAAAGGGTGTTGAAAGACACAAGTAAGGCCTGACATATGACAGGAAGGCAAAGGAAATGATTCTGTCACGATCCCCAACAAGGTCACAGGTGGATCTGCCTTAAAAAGAAAAAAAGTCACTTGTTTCACTGAGCTTAGCGTGATGTGTCTCTATCAGCAGAAGGCAGTATACAGTCCAGGACAGAACACCAAACCCCAAATGCTGGTATCTCCCAACACACTACCCCAGGGAAGCTGGACCAACCAGGAGCTAAGCTAAGAACAAGGTAGAGACTAGAGGGTCTGAATGTCACTAAGATGTAGCAGCAATCTGCACAGGATGGATTCTGCCCAAGGAACGGAATTACTTCTCTTGGGCATTTGAGAAGGGGCTGGGAGCAGGCTGTTTGAATATAGAATTTGTTCTCCTTTTGGCAACATCACCACTCCTACCACCAGATGGTCCCACTCCCAAAGCAGCTGTGCCAGGTGGAGGGCTGGAAACCACCAGACACTTCTATGTTTAGAACAGATAGAGGCACAAGGTCCTTCTATTGCTTGCAATGATCTGCCTGGAGTTTACTTGCCACCCTAAATTGACCAATAGTACCATTTCCAAAGCTTGCTTCAAGGGACAGAAAAACCCTGTACGACAGCATTTGTCATCCCAAGCTATGTGGCCCCTTAATTCGGTATCTGAGCATGGGTGATATAGGTTCAAACATTAGCAGCACTAAGTAAGACTGCAGCATGTATGGTGGGCAGAAATCTCAGATGGCCTTCCAAAGTTCCTAGTCCCTGGCTATTCACACACAGGTACTTCTGTGATCGGGTGACCTTAAAATAGGAAGATTATCCAGGTGGGATTATGATATCTTACTTAAAAGTAAGTAAAGTAATGAGTCATGTAAGTTTTCTTCAGCTAGTGCCACAAGAGGAAGTCAGATTCAAGGCATGAGAAGGACTCCATGCAACAGAAGGATCTGATGAACCATTGCTAGCTTGAGCACGGAGGAGTCCAAGCTACGAGGAATGAGGACAGCCTCTAATAAAATCAGATTTGTCCCCAGCTGACAGCCAGCCAGAAATGGAGATGCCAGACTCACAACCTGAATTTTGCCAACAACCTAAATGAGGTGGAAGCACATTCTTTCCCAGAGCAGAACTCAGCTGATACCCTGACATCAGCCTGGTGAGACCCCACCAAGAGAACAGAACAGAGAGCACAACCAAGCCCACCAGGACCTCTGACCTACAGAACTGTGAAATGATACATGGGCATTGTTTTAATCTGCTAAATTGTGGTAATTTGTTATGTGCAACAGAAAACTAGCACAGTGTGTACAGTGCTCAGTAAGTAGAGTGCCACAGTTCAAAATGGCCTGGCTTTCTTCAATGTCTTCCTCTCCACATCCCCCCCACAGCCCTCAGGCTTGAGAGCACAGACCTCCTTTGTCCCCCTTTCACTGAAAAAGGAAGAGGTATCCACAGGATTAGGGAGGCAAAGTCCTTCCCTTACTTCAAAAGCCCTCCCCAGGTGGAGAATACCATTTGGAATGCTAGTAGAAAGAAGCAGACCTTTCCCCTACAACCAACTCCAATCCTGTACACATACCAAATGTAGACTCTATTAGTTGGCAGGGGGAATCTGCTTCCGGCCCTGAGAGTTCCTGCACCTTCTCACTGAGAAAGCCTTTAGCTGGGCTGTTTCTCATAACTCTGTTCACAGGAGGCAATCCAGAGGATGAAGTAATGTCCCCATCTGGAACAAAGGGCAGACTTGCTGTAAGAGGTGAAGTCTTCAAGAGGGCATGTTCTCTGGCTGTGATGCAAACTTGCTACATGCATGGCATCTACCTGGGGTCCCTTGATATCACCAATGCAGGGCTTGGGAGGACAGAGGAAACCAATACTAACACGAAGCTTGGGCTTCTTGCTGTGCTCTGAGTAATAAAGTTCTTTGTCTCTGACCTGGAATTCTCACATCTTCTGCTAGCATCTGTTGAAACAGTAATAATCTAACTTATTAATTTGCAAGCAGGGTAAAATTCCAGACTCTGACACTATTATTACACTTATATCTTTAAATCGGGAGATGTCATGCAATTACATTATAAATTTCAAAGGAACAAAATACCCTTTTTTACTTTTCTTGAGGAGGTAATAAGATCTACATCACAGGTCTGTGAGAATAAAATAAAATTATAGCACACTGGGATAAAAAAAACATCCAGTACCTTTCACTGGACCCCTGCCCTCCCCAGGGACAATATATACATACAATGAACCACACAGGGAGCAGTACCTGTCTCCCAGAGAGCAGTCCATTCAGAAGACAAGGGATAAAACAGTCTAATATGCCAACTGCAGACACTTGTATGAGTATTGCCCTACTCATGAAAAATTTGCACCCATATTTTCTCATTTAATCCCTACACAGAAACCGAGGCTCAAAGAGGTGAGTCCTGGCAGAAAAAACAGTGATGGACCCCAGACAACAGCCACAGACAGAAGCCCAGGGGTGTGGGCTGAGGAGGCATTGCTGAAATGCAGCGGAGATGTGGTTCTAGCATCACGATGGTGTCCTGAAGGCACATTCTTCATCCAGGAAAGCCAAGGGGGGAACTCTTGTCATGACTGGGCCTCCTGAAGAATTTCAATGCCACTGGAGAGACAGCTAAAAACCACATGACATAGAGATGTCTTTTATTTGGATATTCTGATTTTTTTTTTGATGGAAAATTGAGACGTCTTTCATATGAGGCTACCATGTCACGGGTGAATCTGGAGTTGGTTCCTTTGGTGTCAAAGGCAGCTTCTGCTTTGTCAGTAGGCAGTGGGGCCTTATCTTGTAACATTATCACTTGAGGGTCTTGCTAAGGTTGGAGAAGCCAATGCCAACACAGGTCATCAGCACTTTATCCCCACCCTTGAGTTCTTCACCACATGGCTTGGTTTCAATTTTAAACATAATCTGGAAAAAGCTCTTCAAATGCCGCAAAAATTCTATCCTAAAAAAAACAAAAATGGAGGGAGGAATGAAAAAGGAATTCTGTGTTTGTTTTTAATTCTCCTTGCCCCACCTAGAACCCAAACTTTTAATTTTACAAATTAAAAGGAATGACTAAAAGATGATTCAAGTATTTATTCACAGCCAGCCAGTTTCCAAAGAGGATTGAGAGAGCCTGCAGAGATGCACACAATACAAGATAAACTAAATAAATAAATAAGTAAATAGGGCTAGAGGTTAGTACACAACGACTAAGTCATTTAGTCCTACACACTGTTAGAGTGGACATAAATATGGTGTTAATCTTTCAACAACTCAGGCAAGAGAGAAACATGTACTCCCACAATTCGTAGCATCATAAGGTAAAACTAGGCAGAATGATTGCTGCTGACACTGAAGTAGAGAAGTCTGTTGTCTTCATTTCTCAACTTTGACAATACCGTTCCACTCACTCTAGAAATACTTGAGTGCCTAGTATGTACTAGGCACTGTTCTTGGCACTAGGGATGTTGCAGTCAACTAAAAATCCCTTCTCTCATGAAGTTTTCAATCTAGTGGGCAGCCAAGGTAAGTTAAATATTCTTGAGAAGTATGGAAATTTAAATAAGCAAGATGGATGGGGAGGAAATGTGGGCATAACAAATATGTGTGGATATGGCAACATATGTATATATTAAGTGGGGTGGCCAGGCTGGAGTTCACAGTAAACAGGGCGAGGAGTTTCACGGGGCTGTTTGTCATCTCCCTCAAGACAGAGGGATGGCTTGACCCTAAGAGTACCTTGGGAACAGCAATTATATGGAAGGCCTGCAGCACAAGTGTGCAGGCTCGTACTGATCTGCCTAGGAGATCATCACCATCCCATCTGGCCTGGACCGTAAGACTCACCTAGAGAGTTCATTAAACATACAGGTTCCTGAAGGTTCTGATCAATTGGCAACTGGTAGAGAAGAAGCATCATGTGGTAGAGCCCAGAACCACAGGCCACATACAAAGACATCCCATCCCCACTCCTTACCAGACCCTGCCTCCCCAGTGCACAGGGACCAGAAATCTATTGTTAACAACATCCCTCATGGCTCTTATCCTGAAAATTTGGGAACACTGGTTTAGTTGAGAACAGATGGTCTGCACATCTGTAATGAAATATTCCAGTAACCTGTATTGGGCTCCCTTTCAGCCGAAGCATGCCAACTCCCTATCCTAGCCAGATGGTTCTCACCTTTGCACATAAAATCACCTGAGGAACTTTCAAGATACTGATCCTAGTCAAGATACTGATCCTAGACAAGATCAATGGGACAGAATTGAGAGTCAAGAAATAAACCCACACATTTATGATCAACTGATTTTCAAACAGGGTACCAAGATAATTCAATGGGAAAAGAATAATCTTTTCAACAAATGGTGCTAGAACAAATTCCACATGCATATCTACATGCAAAAGAATGAAGTTGGACCCTTTCCTCACAGTGTACACAAATATTAGCTCAAAGTGGACCAAAGATCTGGACGTTAAGAGCTAAAACTATGAAACTCAAAGAATGAAAGATACTAGTAAATTTTCATGATCTCAGGCTAGACAGTAGTTTCTTAGATACACCATAAGCAGAGTGATAAAAGAAAAAACAGATGAATCAGACTTCACCAAAATTAAAATCTTTTGGGCATCAAAGAACACTATCAAGAAAGTGAAAAGACAACCCACAGGATGGAAAATATTTGCAAATTCATATATCTGATAAGGGTTTAGTAGCTAGAATATATAAAGACTTCTTACAATTCAATAATAAAAAAACAGACAACCCAATCAACAATGGGCAAAGGATCTGAACAGACATTTCTCCAAAGAAGATAACACAAATAACTAACAAGCACATGAAAAGACGCTCAACATCATTAGTCATTAGGGAAATGAGTATCAAAACTATGAGATACCACTTCACCACCAAGTGAATGGCTATAATCCAAAACACAGATAATAACAGAAGTGGAGTGAGGAAATAAAAAAAAACTGGAACCCTCATACACTGAAATTTGCAATGTGGAATGATGTGATCGTTGTGGAAAACAGTCTGACAGTTCCTCAAAATGTTAAACAAGGAGTTAACATATGATCCAGTAATTCCCCTCTTAGCTATGTACACAAGAGAAATGAGACATATACCCACACAAAAACTTGCAGACAAATGTTCCTAACAACATTATTCACAACAGTCAAAAAGCGGAAACAACCCAAATGCCCATCAACTGATACATGCATAAACAAAATGTGGTATATGTGGAAATGGAGTATTATTTGACCTTAAAAAGAAATCAAGTACTGATACATGCTACAGCATGCATGCACTTTGAAAACATTATGCAACATAAAAGAAGCCAGTCACAAAGCACCACATACTGTATGAGTCCATTTATATGAAATGGCCAGAACAAATCTATTATAGAGGCAGAAAGCAGATTAACAGTTTCCTGGGACTCAGGAGTGGGAGGGATGAGGAACAACCATAAATAGGCCAAGGGTTCCTTTCTTGAATCACGAATATGTTCCAAAAGTACATTGTAGTTATGGTTACACAGCTTTGTGAATGTACTAAAAACCACTGAACTGTACACTTTAAATAGGTGAACTGTGTGTATGTGAATTGTATCTCAATAAAACTTTTAAATAAATGAATGAATGAATGAATGAATCTGTGAAGTTAAAAAAAAGGACTGAACAGGGCTCCCCCTCCCTCACACAGTATACACCAAATGAGCCTCTGTCCAAGCTGATCTAGTCAAAGGAGGGAAAAGGCAAAAAGGAGAGAAAGGGGCTGAAGAATTCCTCACCCTGTGTGGCTGGCATGTCAGGGGTGAAGAAGTTAAAACAGTAGCTACCCTGGTAAGTAGGAGACGTGGTGAGTGCCCCATGCCCACAGAAAAATTCCTCCCTAGGTTGCTTTCACTTCCACCTAGAATCGTGCCACTTCATCTCCATCTTTAAAAGAATATTCCATTTGCCAACTCTTCTGCAAAGCCTTCCCTGGCCAATAACCCCTCTGGTTTCCTATAGCATTCTTGGCTCTGTTCATGGTGTCTAATTAAATGCTTATGTTTAGTCTCTCACAATGGCACCCTCCGCCTGGGTAGATTATATAAGCACCTCAAGGGCAAAGAAAGACCTTGTTGAAACCCATGATTCTCCCTAGGTACTACATAAGACACCCAGTAAGGAGGCACTGAATAGAATTTAGGAGCTAGAGCTAATTTTGAGAAATTAACTTCAGTGTTCTTAGCAATGAAAGGAAGTCAGTTCCTGCTGGCCTCCCCTGCTGGCCCTCCTATCCTAATAACCAGTTGAAATTTTCAGTTTTCTGTTCTCTGTCCCAGCATCACAACCTCCCCCACCCTGTCCTAGAAAAAAAAAGAAAACAAACATATCAAACCCACAGATAAACAGTCCACATCTGCGGGCAAAGCTTCCAGCTGGCAGCAATGCAGAAAGAGCCAGCCATCTCACCTACTTCTCTGCATTCTGAGGAGAAAACAGCCTGTTCTCTCTGTGCTTGAGCTCTAATACAGGCCTGGAGCACGCTCTGCTCCCAGAGTCTCCCCAGCCTACTTCACTCTGAATTATTTAGCTGTGCTAGAAAAACCAGACACCCTCCCCGACTGGCGCAATTCCTATGGGGCCTCAGCCTGCTTCTGAGCTCTTGGAGAAGGATGGGAGAAACACAGGGGTGAGTGTACAAGCCTACATATTTGCAGTTTTCTGGTATTTGTAGCCTTTGGAATAGTTAGAAAAAGCAAAGTCAGTTATACTTTTACATGATGTTCTGCCAGCCCCTCAGCCTGTCTGAAGAAGACTGTATAAAGGGACTGGATGGAGGTATGATTCAGAATGTTCTCCCACCACCAGCCCTGTTCTCTGTCTCCTATAGCTGGGGTATCAGAAAGCAAACATGCTCAGAGACTGAGAAATAACCACAGACGATATTAAACTCTAACAGTCTCCTTTAAGAAAATGGAAAATAAACCTGTCCAGATCTACTTGCGTTTGAACAAAGTCTGGAGCTGATCCACACCCTTCGCAGCCCCTCAGCTCTCCTGGCTACAGCTGTACACAGGCCCCATGAGGCACCACCACCTAAGTGTAGAATGCTTCCCTCTCCTTCTCTTCCAATACTCTCCCACAATGTAGGTCCACGCTTCCCAGACACCACACGGCCACACAAGTCAGGCAAAAGAGAGACCCATGGCATGCTGAGGGCAACTCCCTCCTCAACAGATGACTGCCGCTTGGTGTAAGCGACAGGGTTTCAGACTAAGTATTTTAGGTAACTGGTTCTATACAACTCCTGTGTGAAGGATTTGAACTCCTGACTTAGAAAACTACATCTGCAGCGAGCTACTTTTTTTTTTTTCAGAAAAAAATTGTTTTCAGGCAATAAAACAAACAAAAACCAAAAACAGCAATCACTTGTCTATGAAAGCCTCAAGTCTAAATGACAAGCAGGGATTCAAAGAACTCTAGATCATATATATCTTTTTTCCTGTGTATTTCTAAAGGGTTGATTATTCCTACTACCACTGTTGGTCAACGTGTGAAGGCCACTGGGCTCACAATTATCTGCCCACTGAATTCCAACTGCCCAGAACTTGCCAGGTTGCGCAGTCCACTCTTTGGATACAGGCCCTCTCATCCAGCACCCTTTCTGAAGCTTGGTAGAGAGTGCAATCTTGGATGCCAACTCTGGTAGCTCCACAAATATAAAACACCACAGAGGGTCCTGCCTCCTGCTCCACCTAGCCAGTTGGATATTGGGGTTACCTACTTCTCAGGTCTAAGGAGTTACTCTAGAAGTTGAAGGGAAAGATATGGGGATGAGAAGAGAACCTGCTCAACAGAGCCCCCTGTAGTCATTACACAGCAGCTTTTTAAAAATACATTGGCGATGTTTTTTTTCTGCCAAATAGCAGCTTTCCCAAAGTCCCTTGGCCTCTGTTCCACAAATGAACATTTTTCCTGTGTATTTCTAAAGGGTTGATTATTCCTACGACTTACAGTGAATTCTGGGCCAAGCTTGGCCTGGGACCCACGTCTCCCCGGGAGCCTAGCTTTGCTTCCTGCTGCCTTTATAATTTATCAACTTCACTCTTTGAGCACAGGTCAGGTTTTTCATCTGAAAAGTAAAGGTATCACTTATTTTTACCATATACCAAATATGTTCTGGGACTCAAACAGCACAGTAAAGGTGGCAAAGCTCTGCAGTATTTAAAGCACTTCCCAAATGTAAGGTGGAATAGTATTGTGCTAGCTCACAGAGATCAGTTAAGCAACTGTGCCCAAATGATGGGAGGCTTGGCCAACAGTTCCCCATTTCCCCAGGCACTGTCACATTTGATCCTCACACTGCTGTGCTTCATACTGGGTGAGCCCCGATCAGTCAGTGTTCAACAAGGACACTGGGCTCTCACGCCCTAGTACTTCACAAGTAGTGCAAAGAGGTCATTTGTTATAGTTAGAAAAAAAAAAGTGGCATGGTTTATTTTAGACTTCCAACTAAAGATAGAAGGAGATCACTTTACAGCAGAATTTTATTTGAAACGAGGACTCGGAAAAGATGTAGCACGGCATTCTGCCTGAGGCAGAGAGGTGCCTGGAGTCCAATAATATGGATGGAATTCCAGCTCTTACATTAAGAGCACAGTGGGTCAGGGAGACATGGACTCTGGATGAGACTGTCTGGGTCTGAAGCCCACTTGCTGACATGTGACCCTGAGCATGAGGATCAAACTCCTTGTGCCTCAGTACCCTCACCTCTAAAACAGAGCACATAAGAGCACCTGCCTTTATCACCCTCATAAGGTTATTGTGAAAACTAAATGAGTTCATATGTGTAAAGTGCTTAAAGCAACATTCAGCCAATAGTAAATACTATGACTATCTGTTAAATAAACACCTACCTGACAGAATTTTGGGGAACAGTAAATAAGATGTGTGGTTTGGTATCATGGAAGTTAATAATACGTTTTAAAATAAATGGGATACAGATTTAGAGATAGCCGAGCAGAAAATTTATAATGACTCAAGCTTGAGATCATGCAAAGCAAGTTTACTAGCCCTCCTGGTGTTCAAAGTGACCTTAATGGGAGGCCGTACTTCCTAGATCCAGGAGGCATCCAGGCAAGAACCTCTGCCTGGCTGAGCTTCAGCCTGACTGGGCTCTGGCAGGTGCATTGCACTGCTGACACACAAAGGCCCTGACCTCAATGACGCCTACCTCCATTCCCACAAACCCATGACACGGTGAGATGGAAGCTCAGAGGTGCTAAATACCTTGTCCTTGGTCTCCCAGAGTTCCAGGATTGAGGCAGAACTGGTATCTGGACAGGTTAGTGAGCTGGGCACTGGCAGGATGCAGACAGTGCACTATCGACTCTCTGATCAAACACTTTCTGAAAGTGCTAGTTAAGAAGCTCATTAATACATATTTTTCTTGCTGTTTACCCTACTTTTAAATAAAGTACAAGTCTTCCCTAATTTGAAATTAACCTTTTTTTTCCAGTATCATTAATCTACAATTACATGAGCAACATTATGGTTACTAGACTCCCCCCATTATCAAGTCCCCACCACATACCCCATTACAGTCACTATTCATCAGTGTAGTAAGATGCTATAGAGTCACTATTTGTCTTCTCTATGTTGTACAGCCTTCCCTGTGTCCCTCCCCCCACATTATGTCTGTTAATCGTAATGCCCCTTCTTCTCCCTTATCCCTCCCTTCCCACCCATCCTCCCCAGTCCCTTTCACTTTGGTAACTGTTAGTCCATTCTTGGGTTCTGTGAGTCTGCTGCTGTTTGTTCCTTCAGTTTTTTCTTTGTTCTTATATGCCACAGATGAGTGAGATCATTTGATACTTGTCTTTTTCCACCTGGCTTATTTCACTGAGCATAATACCCTCTAACTCCATCCATGTTGTTGCAAATGGTAGGATTTGTCTTCTTCTTATGGCTGAATAATACTCCATTGTGTATATGTACTACATCTTCTTTATCCATTCATCTACTGATGGACACTTAAGTTGCTTCCATTTCTTGGCTATTGTAAATAGTGCTGAGATAAACATAGGGGTGCATAATTCTTTTTCAAACCGGGCTGCTGCATTCTTAGGGTAAATTCCTAGGAGTGGAATTCCTGGGTCAAATGGTATTTCTATTTTGAGTGTTTTGAGGTACCTCCATACTGCTTTCCACAAGGTTGAACTAATGTACATTCCCACCAGCAGTGTAGGAGGGTTCCCCTTTCTCCACATCCTCGCCAACATTTGTTGTTGTTTGTCTTTTGGATGGTGGCCATCCTAACTGGTGTGAAGTGATACCTCATTTTGGTTTTATTAGCATTTCTCTGATGATTAGCAATGTGGAGCATCTTTTCATGTGCCTGAAGTTAAACTTTTTGAGGGGGAGGTGAAACCACTGTTACCAACTGCAAACCACCTAAAACTCAACAAATCACACACACATAGATTCCCCACATTCTGGCCATGTTATCCAATACTATTTTATTCTACTGAAAAAAAAAATCTCTCTGGTCTTCCCCAAGAATTTCATACATGTAGGCTTACCTTCTCAAGTAACACAAAAACCACTGACAGCTATCTCCTAAAGATGGAGGGAAGACAAGAGAAAGGAAGAACATAGAGCCTTATTTTCCAGAAAGGGTTTGAAAGCAACATTGTAAGAAAAGACATAATCCTTAATTCTAGGGCTTTATAAACACACATTTGAAAAGCTGTTTATATAAATCAGAGTGTACAAACTGCCAGAATACACACATTTCTTTAAACCAAGAAGGGCCTTACTTCTGGTTTTTGTTAGAAATCTGAGGTTTCAGGAAACATACTTTTATGACTTTAATTGCACATAAAAATAAGTGTGATAGTTTGGGCTCCAAAGCTCTTGAATTCCACTAGAATAAACTGTTCGCCCCACTATCATTGTCCTGCTTGGATTCTGTTCCTTTTTCACCCTTAATTATACACACAAATATGATGTTAGCTTTGCCTGTCTGGCAAAGGATGTATATTTCTTCCCACCTTTGCCCTTCATCACTTAGGTTCCCAAACAGATAGAGCTTTCAAAAATAAACGCCATGACCCCCACATTCGTACTAGTTTACCAAAAAGAGGGTCAGCTGCCCCTGCCCACTGCAGGGTAGCCCCTCTTGGATGAAGCCCTGGGAGCCAGGTAATCCACAGGAGGAGTGTCCTGCAAGCTCCAGCCATGAGTCTCACAATATAATTTTACAATCTGTCCCACTCCTGTAAAGCTTCATTCAGAGCAGACCATTTGTTTTCCCAGGAGATGTTGTAATTTTAGGAAAGTTTCTGGGAGACAAGACACTGCAATTAATGTTTGGTGAGGGGGTGTGTCAAGGAGAAACTTTAAAAAATGTCCAGTCACATCTTGACCGTCTCCACAGGGGCTGCTGACTTGGAAAGATTATAAAGGCCCTGTAACCAAACTGGAAAAAAAAAAAAAGTCTTCAAAAGCAACCAAAAAAAGTGTCAAGGAAAAATAAGATACACTCCATTTTTCACATAATGTTCTGCCAAACCCCATGCCCCACTACCACACACATTTCCAGACACTGCTTCATGCTGCATGAGCAGTCAGGCCTTCCACTGCTCTGAAGCAGAGGCTAGGAGAGCAGCAGCAGAAGGCCGGCTAAATGCTGAAGGGGACTGTGGCAGTCACAGAGCTACCAGCTGTTTTCAGCAAACTCTAGGGGAAGCGAATCTCTGCACTCAAGAAGCTGTACTCCCAATACCTTACCTCATCTCTGAGAGCCTTAACTGTGAAGTCTATTTTAGCAATGTTGGTTCCTCAATTTCAGGTTTCCTGTCCTGTGAAATACTTCACACAAGTTATCAGGAGATAATGTGGTCCCCACCAGTTTCTTGCTTATCAGTCTTACCCCACAACTAACAGAATGTATTCTCTTCTATTTCCTTGTTCCAAAAACACCTCCCATCACCAGCTCAAAAAACTTAAAAAGCCTCCAAAAGGATCTCCTTCAAGCTCCTGGTCTCCATGCCCTTCAAGCCCTGGTCCGATGGCACATTGCCCTTTGGCAGTGCTTGCCCCATTCTCAATGTGATGGCACCACCATTCTTCAGTTATCACAGTACTGTACCTTTCAGATATACAGCATCGGTACCATGATAACCGAAAAAGGACAGTTCAGTCTCACATCTACCTGAATAATCCTCCCACACAAGGTCCATTCACCCCTACTCCCCACCCTCAGATGGCCACATAATGTTCTCAAGTGTGTAAGCACATGTGCTCAACCCCCCACCCTCCCGACTCCCAACACACACACACACACACACACACACACACACACACACACACACATAATGCTAATGCCCAACAGGGCGATTACAGCAACCTCATTTACTATCAATGAGAATTGCTCCTTTCACTGTGCTGTTTATAATTCAAGTCTTCCGATGAGGTGTTCTTTTTGGAGAGTGCCAGCTTTAAAACCTCAGCAGTCAACTTCTGATAATATCCAATGGCCTGGAACTAATCTCTATGATTTCCCTACGGTTCAGTAACATTACCATGGACTTTGCCTCCTCTGTCACCTTTCCAGCCAGCTCCTACCCTACCATCTTGGGCAAAAAGACAGTCCTTTTTGCCACAGCTAGAGAAAAAGAGGGATTAAAAAACTAACAACAAAACCCAAGCTCTAATGGGACCAGGAGTTTATCTCAAAAAAGGGAATGAAATCTAATGCAGAGACAAAAGAACTGTCCAGTATGTAGCATATAGCCTTAGTGATATGGGAATGAGGAAACCACAGGAAATGATGGAAGGCAAAGTCCTTGTTGAACAACAGGTAAAGAGCAACAACCTTGAGCTCATTTAGGCACCAGCACGAGCAGGCGTTCACAGTGATAGGCTGTGCGTGGCACACTACCTTGTTGCTCTGTGCAGCTGGAAGATTAAACTGGACAGTGTAATGGGAGCTGAAAGAAAATAACTCACGTGTAGGGAGAAAGTGGTCCTAGAAGGACTTTGGAAACATCCTGCTGTCCAAGGGTCATGAGCAATAGAGCCAGGCTCTGGTTGGTTGAGTCCACACATCCACCCTGTAAACACACACACTTCAAAGATTAATCATTGTACCAACCAGAAAATAGAAAACAAATAAAACTGTAGGAAAAAAATAACCACAGATGCCCAGAATATCAGAACCACTGAAGAGCAGATTACAAAGTCCAAGAAATAATAAAACAGAGTATGGGTCTTTTAAGAGTAATTCTAACTAACTTTCAAGAGTAATCAACTAACATTAGGGGGTTAAACTAATGATCATTTAAAACAATTGCAATAGCTGAGACCAACAGAATGAATAGACTTTCAAGTTTACTGAGATCTATCTAGTGAAAAATGAAATTTTCCCCTCATAATTAAAGCAGCATCAGGATACAGAAGCAAAAAGGCATAATCGGTTCTAGGAAATGCATAGGTAAGTGAGTAAGAGTAAGTGAGTGCCACTTCAATTTATTTAATCTGCAATAGAAACACCACAGTCAATCTGACATGAAAGGACCTTTATCTTTCAAAGGCCTTACCCATACCATTTAGTCAACTGCATTCAGAAACAACTTGCCATGTGGTACTGGTCTCTTCCTCTGTTCTTATTACTTATACATTATTTCTCCCTCCCCTTTCCTTCCTTTTCTTCCAAATTAATAAACAGAACAGAATTCTTTTCAACAACTTTCTCCTGAAGTACATTGCTTTGGTTGCCTTTCTTCTTTCATTCTTGCACTTCTCAACCATTTCAGCTGTTTTGCTTCTATCAGGTGCCTGCGTTACTGTTGTTTACATTTGTGCCTTTTAAAAATGTCTTTATTTCTGATTATTCTTTCTGGGATAACTTTATGGGAAATAATTCAAACTGCCATTATACATGTGAAAGCAGGATGACCCTGAATTTCCATGTACTTTGCATGTCACAAGAAGAAACCCAGTTTCTAACAATGGCACGTCACTGTCCAAAGCTAGTCTCCCAGACTGAATGGAAGAGGCAGTCCCCTGCAGCTGTTCATGTGGGTGCCCCTCTTTGCTTTTTCAATGCAGGTAGCACAGGGAAAAAAAATCAATTCCCAGGAGCAGACATTCATTCTCTACTGTCAGACTTAATTCATGGCAATGTGAGTAGAAAAACAAGAGGGTTTATCCTACTGCTAGCCTTTATGAAAAATCTACTGTTCTTCCCAAACTTCCTGAGTTAATATAAAGGACAGCATTTATCTCCCTTAGCAAGTGTTACGACAAGAAGAACTACAGCATATGTATTTCCATCCAAAAAGCAAGTGCTGACCCATGAAAATATGAACCAACAAAACAAATTCCATTTACAGAACTTGCCCCCTTTCATAAGGTTGACTAAAATTTTCTCTTCAGTATCTGCCTCCTGTCATTATGTTACTATTCTACCAATCTCACTGATTTTTTTTGTGTGTTGGACTGATATTTTAGTGCAGTAAATACATTAGGGTCTATGTATAGAATCCCACAGAGGGAGTGGTGGAGCCAACCGCACCGCCGAGGATGCAATCCTTGTGCTGAGTGGCTTCAACCTCATTGCAAGGATGAGATATGAACAGGAACCAGAAACAATTCAAGGTGTAGCTAAAGCTATGTAGCACATGAGAAATGGGGGCACTGGGACCACTAAAGTGGATGGGGGGAAGGGGTCATCACTCACATGACACCAAAGGCAGCTTTGGGAAGGTGGGGACTTAGCTGGCTCTGGAGGGCTGAACAGAGTTCAAAGAGGGAGGAAGAGCAGAAAGACGGGAAAAAATGGCCCAGGGTCAACAAGAAACAGCCAGGAGGCCAGCCTGAAAGTGGCTGCATGCTGTCTGGAGAAGAGGTACAGAACCTGTAGGGAGCAGGTGCAGTAGGGCAGGCAGATTGAGGGAGGGCTTTTCTAACTGGGTCAAGGGTTTTGACTTCATGTTTGGAAAGTGAAAAACTAGGAAAGGTCTCAGAACAGGAGTGAAAAGATCAGATTAGTATTTTAGGGGGAGATTTAGACTGAAGAGAACATTGGAGAGGGAGGTGGAGAGTAAAAAGAAAAGAAGGGACACGAACTCAACAGTCCAAGCAGGTTTATTGCTAAACCTGAGAGGGACCTCTCTGTTGCGAGCAGAACAAAGAAGGCCTCTCTTACAGGCTAACAGGCTTTTTATAGCGTCTTTTTGGTGGGGTTTTTGGCGGGCTTTTGAAGGGGCGGATTGGGGAAAGGGCAAGCTTATAGCTTGCCGAGGTGTTCTCCGAAAAATGCTTGTGGCCTATGTAAAATGAATCCTAAGTCTCTCTGAGATGGCGGGTAGGCTTATTCAAAATGGCAGTACTCCTGTCCAGGCTCTATCAGAAGGGAGGAGGGTAGTAGAGGGTGGCAGATGGAGGAAGCAAAAAAAAGTGGATAGGAAAAGGGCAGTTCCAGAATGCCTAGAACAGAATCAAGAGGGCTTGGTAGTAGATGAATTATAAACAAGACGGATTAGGTCAGAGAATTAAAACTTTGGTAAAAATAAATGGCACCTTCAAAGAAGATGGATTTTTATTCTTCATTTAAACCATGTTACATCACAGAGCGTGAAGCACTTTCATCCTTCTAACAATTAAAGATCACAGATACACACAAAGGAATATTTTCTTCATGATTAAAAAACAAAAATAAAAACTTGGTCTAGGCACAATGAAATGGTTTAAAGTGGAACTTAAACAGAGTAATGAAAAAATATAAAATTACCTAAACCTCACCAGTGGACTAGTGAGCTGTGCTTTTACCCTGAGGCTTACAATCTGCTGACTGCCTGAGTATAAAACCCACACCCCAGCTGTGCGTGTGGGCTCCCACTGGGCTATTTACTCTGCAGGGCCAGGCTTTCACTTCCCCCAGGCCTACTGGGAAGAGAAGGAAGTGTCCCCCACAGTCAGAGACAGGGCCCGCCAGCCACCAAGGCACAAGGAAAGGACAACTGCACAAGCCAACAGGGGCTTTAGGGATACACGTATCACACACACATTCTTTCCTCACAATGTCTATACGACAAAGTTCCTGAACTAAGTAAGTAGGAGGGCAAACCCTTGATCATTTACTTCCAACTTTTCTGCATCAAACATTGGGCTGACTTAGCGTCAAAAAAGCTGAGGTCAGATCTTGACCACACAAGAATGTGAGAAGATACTTCCTCCTCCAGGATGATTTCATATGATAGGCTATTTCCCTCCTACAATATTTGCTAGCGGAATGGTGAGTAAAGGGGATGCAGTCACTCTACTGAAGACAAAGTGATAGATTCTTTGTCTACTATTAGACATTAAATAATGCCATCTGAGAGCTGGAAATTTTAATTAACATGAAACAGTTCATTCTTACTCATTCTACCTTGTGAGCAATGAGATATTTTCAAGAAGGCTAACTTGGCTCTGAGGAGTAGACTGTGTTAATGAGCTGTTTGCCTTAGTGAGGTCTGTGCAGGGATCAATATCCATGACCCAGGTATCACCCTACCACAGTGATTAATAAATTACAGAGACAAAAGGAAAATTAAAAGAAAAATAAAATCACCAGTGTACCTGCCTTACAGCTTTTATTGCACTAGGATCTCATGTGATTTTTGTTACTATCAACAGGGCAAAACTGTCTTGGCAGCTTCAGGAAAGAACCACAGAGATGTCTACTAACTGAGAATAAACACACAGGTAAACAAAGACATAAAAGGCTCTTCAGTTCTTTAGCTGAAAAAAAAGACAATTCAGAAACATTGTACACCGTCCAATTGCAAAGCACCCAAAGAAAAATTCTTGCTAGTGCTCAGTTCAAGAATCTGGGGGACGGAGCCAAGATGGCGGCGTGAGTAGAGCAGTGGAAATCTCCTCCCAAAAACACATAGAGCTATGAAAATATAACAAACAAAACTCTTCCTAAAATAGAGACCAGAGGACACAGGACAACATCTAGACCACATCCACACCTGCAAGAACCCAGCACCTTGCGAAGGGGGTAAGATACAAGCCCAGGCCAGGCAGGAACCGAGCGCCCCTCCCCCCGGCTCCCAGCAGGTGGAAAGAAACCTG